TAAAAAAATAAATACCTACAAATATATATTATTTATGCTGAAATATTTTTTTTAATAAACATAATCCATTAACACACAAAACTAAATCCAAATTGTAACATTTTATAATGCTACATAATCATATGCTCCATCAGAATCAACATTTCGTCATAGTGTTTCCTCTACATCTATTGTCCATTTGAATATTTCTTGATAAAACTGCGTATACTCATCGATGATACTGTTTTCAACTTTTTTTAATACACCCTGTTGATGGAATCAGTTCGCTATAACATTTTTTAACAGTTGGAAGGCATTTGTAACTATAACATCGATAAAATCCTGTGTAACTACATCTGTTTCGTAGCATTATATTATAAACTCATAAAGAGGAACGAGTGAATTAATATTTTTGGTCCTTTGGAACTTCCTTAGCGTAACAAACAACATTTTTCATAGAAGAGCGGCTACCACTTTTTAAATTAATAAACTTGATCCGTTTGTACCTGTTTTACTGAAAATTTATCACTTGAATCATCTAGTATTCATCTGGTACGTAAACTCTTTTACGGACCTCGTGCGTAAACAGGATTATGTTTTTCGATTTATTTTTTAATAAGCTTTTCTTAAAAGTGAATGAAACACACAAGTTCTTGCACCTATAATCAAGGTTGTTATATAATATTGGTCTCGATTTCATGGAAAACATGTGTTTACTGCGATAAAAAGTAAGTGAATTTTTTTTTTAGTTTTAATATGCAGGAGAGAGTTGACTAGACTGCTTCGTTGCTACTAAGGTCGACTGGTGCGATACAATGCTCAAGCGAATATTGATTTCAGCCGGGTATATTTTAACAGCTATGAAAATAATAGTTATCCTTAGTAGAGAATAAATCATAAATGACTTATTTCCACTCTTGGCCTGTTTCTTTTCCTCATACTTTTGTTCCCTATAGTTAGTGTATTCCTAGCTTTTAACCTTAGTTTCCAATAATATTTCTTTCGTAATTCGAAAGACTATAGGCCCTTTTCTTTTTCAGCTTATAATCACTTTCCAATTCACTTGACATTGATATACAAATTTACCACAATGGGACGTTACAACAAACTGAAACATTTTGTTCATACTGAAGATCAACAGCTGGAAGATCACTAGCCAGCAGTGTCCTTTGGGAGTGACTGCAAAAACTACATAAGACATTGACTAACGTTGTTTTTGCATTTACTTCAAAGTGGCAAGTTTCTTGTACTTGGCAATATGAGACTAATGTAATTTACAATTAATAAAACTAAACAGCACAGGTAATATAACACCCTGTATCCCTTAAGGCTTCTTAAGGCACCTTGTAGAGAGAGGGCTAGACATTTAGAGACAATGGACACTAGGGTGTCCTTAATTTATAGATGATATAGAAATATTTCATATTTTTTAATCCCACCCCAAAAAGTTTACATATTGTATAAGAAATGCACATACAAAATTTCTGCTATCTAGGTTAATTTCATCCCTTGCCAATGGTGGCATTAATTTTGATAAAAAACGTATTTAAAAAAAACCTCAAAGTGGAATTTTTCAAATTCGGTACTTAAATTATGTTTTGCAACCCCAAATTATTATTTGATATAAAAATATGGTGAGAAAAATTTTAACCTCTATGTTTTAAAGGCTTAAAATTCGAAAATTAGGGGTGAAATTATATAATAAGAAATACAGAAGAAGTCAGACTGAATTAATGATAAACGGTTATTTTAATAGCAAAAATTATGCTGTAATGATCCAAAAACATGTCATTACAAATTAAAAAATTAGTATGGTTGTTTTAAGGTAACTAAAGTAGATCTTTCTTTAACTTCTGCTCTATCAAGGCCATTACTTCATTTAATTGTCTTGTATTAATTTCAAAGCACTACACACGATCGTGGCTTGCTCTTCACCTGTTGTGTACATCTTTCCAATTTTGAGCTGTTCCATATTTTGACTACTCACAATTACTGATAACCATTCAACGGACGAGCATTTAACGAAACTAGAAGCGTTCCATTCCAATAAACAACAACATAATTAGATGTTTTATCTTGAAATATAGATTTAATGATTTCAGTACTTTCAGCGCTTAAAATCTCTCGGCATCAATGGACGATTTATTACTAAATCATCACTATTATACCCTAAAGCCTCCGAGACTGCATGCAAAACATAATCCGAATCTCTTACACTTAATTGACATCTGTCTAAATTTCCAACGAGTTTAGGCGTAATAAAATTTATGTGACCTCTCTTTTTTAACCGTAGGTGGTGATGAAGATTCTAACTGTTCTACGTTGCTCAAGTCTTGTTCGAGAACTTTTGTTATGCGTGAAATTTATCAGACGTTAATGAAATTGACACTGTTATTGACAGAAGTGTTATCTGTTCCTCATACTGAATATTTTCTCTACTTCCTTGTTCCTGAGCGCTCGTCGTTTTTCTTCTTTCATTATTACTATTCGACCAATAGATCCAAGACAACCTATCCGCCTACGCTTCTTCGGTTTATTAAGAATCGTTAAGCATTACCTAGTAAAATAGAGGTTAATTATATTGTTTTCAATTTTTACAGGATGTTTTAACCAATTTAGCTGCCCTGTTAAGCGTAGAAGCTGTAACTGACAAAATCGTTATTTTGAGATATATCTAGTTTTAATAATTTGCTAAGACCATCAAATCCGAATTTAACATAATATGATACCTTGTATACAAATTCTAACAGGCCAAAGCATTATTTTGTCACATTTTGAGTTTAACAGACTTAAAATCATAATTTCCAAATTGTAGATGTAATAAGCTTAAAATGTGTAAAAAAACTGCTGCCAATTACTTGGGGATCAGAATTAAATAAAATTATTTTTTTAGATCAGGATGATATATACTGGTATAAGAAAGTTATGTGTTGGCCACATCAGATATTTTAGAAAGTTTAAGGCTTAATACGTAATAATTTATAGCATTAGAATTAACAAAATTTATCGAAGGTGTTCAAATTTCTTTAACGTTTACAATTTTTTCCACTCATATATCAGCAAACACTATTTTGGATTATGCAAGAACTTTGTTCCCAAAATACTGACGTAGTTTTGCAAGAAACACCAGAACCCTATATAATGCACTTAACGCGCATTTCGCCAACCAAGTTTGCATTATCTGGAGATGATTAAAACTAAACTTATGCTAACAATCTACCCTACTTATACCTAAGCTATTGTTAAGGTTCGGTGAACCGTGACCCACTAACCAATAAAGCGGGCTATTAGGGATATGCCCTCTGTCACTATTCATATTATTTTTACACTTTATGATTTCCAAGCTTTCAAATGCATTCAACTGTCTAGTAATTAATCTTAAATTGCTAAAATCTATTTTATGGTTGTTCTCAAACGCATGTTGGGCAACACTAGACTTATCTGTCCTACCATATTTGAGATGACCCATACGCTCTTTGAATCTAGTTTGAATTGATCGTTTAGTCTGTCCAACATATTTTTGACAGTCCTTACAGCTGATTTCGTATATCTTCGATTTTTTTTTTGTTTCAATTTTATCTTTTGGATTGCCTAAAAGTTGTTGTAATTTGTTTCCCGATGAATGAACCACTGTCATACCTACATTTTTAAAAATCTTACCAATATCATGGGTGAATCTAGGATCGAATGGAATCGATACAAACGGATTTTCTCTTTAATTTTGAAACGTCGAGGAATTTCGCGGCGACTCTTTAAATTTTCGTTTCCTTATTTCTTTATCAATTAAACTTACAGAGTATCCATCACTCGCAGCTATATCTTTAATCAATGCCTTTTCTTTTTTAAACCTCTCTTTATTGAGGGGGATGGACTAGAAAATTAAAACTCGCCATTTTGTGTTGAGCACAATGGTGAGAGTCCTTAGGGATATATCTTAGAGTATTGGTATCATTTCTGTATATATCAAATTCTAACTTATTTTTACTATTTCTAATTATTAATACATCTAAAAATAGTGGTGTCCAGAGTTTTCAATTTCATATGTGAATTTAACTGACGCGAAACGAGTTTAATTTAGATACAAAGTTGTCAATATCAGCGACTTTTGTATCAAACACTGCAAAAATATCATCCACATACCTAAGCCAAACCTTGGGGAAACATTTGAATTCTTTTACTTCCGTCTAGAATTTGTTCATGAAGAAGAGACTGGTAATGACTGGTGACAAAGAGTTACCCATTACTGTTCCTTCATGTTGTTCGAAGAAATTATCGTTGAATCGAAAACAATTTTGATTCATGCAAAGTTTATTGAGTTGAAGATATTCTTTTACTACATTTTGATTGAGTTTGTTTAATTCGAATAGATCCTTAAGGCAGTCCAAGGTCTGTGGTTTCGGAACACTTGGAAACAATGAACAAACTTCAAAGCAGATCAAAATTTCACCTTCTTGCAACTGAATATTTTTCACCTTATTAATGAAATCATTGGAATTAATCACAAAGAAACTAGGTGGTGCAATAGGTAAATTTTCGAACTCTCGTGTTAACCATTTTGATAGGTGGAAGGTCGGCGATCCGTTTGCTGAAACAATATGTCGTATCGACTTTCCTGGTTTATGCATCTTAGGCAAGCAGTACAATCTAGGTACGCTTGGGCTAGATATATGTAACCTCCTATTTAAAGCTGGAGTAATAAGGTAATTGCAGGATTTAAGTACATTTCTTACTTCAGTAAATTGTGTTAATACAACATTATCATAGAAAGGTATTTAGTTTTGGTATTCAAGCTTGATGCAAATTTTCATTTAGCTGATTATTTGTTCAAATTTAATTATTATAACCGAGCCAGCTGATTTTTTTTTTAATTAAACACAGCTAATATAGGTAATACTACAACCCCCTGTATCCCTGAAAGTACCTAATGGTCCCTTGTGTGGGAAAGAACTACAAATTTAGAGACAATGGACACACCCAATGTCTGAGTATTCTAGGGTTAATTTCTGGTTAAGAAAAAATCCTAGCCCTTCGGTCGGGGATCGAACCCGAAACTCCAGGGTAAAAGGCAAGTGTCCTTACTACTCGACCACGAAGCCACACTTTACCCTAACAATCGCTAATAACACAGTATTGTCTATGTAATAGTTTGAAAAAATTTAGAGAGACAGTATTAAAAATTGACGGAAATCAGTAGACCAAAATCGGCAACAGTAGACGGTAATGCTCTTGGTATTTTATTATCAGTTGAGGAAAAGCCTAAAGTATCGACTAGACTTTTGATTCCGAAGTGTGCCTTAAATCAACACTCAGCAATCTTCTAAAAAAGGGAAGAAATTTGTCCTTATCGATTTCACTTGGTCCGTTTGAATTTTGCTAGTTAATGGAGACTTGTAATAATAATGAAGATTTCGCCACTAGAAAATTGTCTTTTCCAATGAAGTTACTTTCTATCTGAAGGGGACATTAAATAGACACAACTGCCGTTACTGGCCACGAAATAACCCTCTTCGGATGGAACAGGTTCATACGTAGCATCCACACAAAGTAAATGTTTGGGCGGGACTTATAGAATGGGATATTGGGCCGTTCTTAACAAAGGAAAATTTTGAGGGCACCTAAGTATGTTTCTTAAAATGTTTTCTTGTTTTCTTAATCGTCCCTCAAGTCACTGAGGCCCCGGAAAATTCTAGAATTTTATGTTGAGTAAAGAGAGACAAAGCCCTATAGTTTATTGTGCAAATTACAAATAAAATTTCTAATATGCACCAGGAGGGAATCGAACCATCAACCTTTGGTACCGAATAAATAGCTATAAGCGTTTTAACCACTCTCCATAGTTGAATTACTTCAATAACTTTTGTTGGTGTCGTTTTTTAAAAAAGCTGCTACTTAAAATGGTATACGCACTATTCCACATTTTCTACACATCCTGAAATAGAAAAATATCGAAAAGTTTAAAAAATCAGACGCTCTAGTGAACTCTAATAATCCAATAAAGCATAAAATTTAGCACGTGAAAAAAGAATAAATCAAATTCGCGGATGCCGGCAATGTGCATTAAATTCCAAATATTACCATGTTTTATTTACATACGTGCTTTAGATACCAGTCTGGGCCTTCCCGATAACGAGATAACCTCTACGCCACGTTCTGTCTCGGTATTTCTCTCTTTTTTCAACGTTTATCATACTAAATAAATGTAGCAGATTCGAACGCGTATATCTATTTTATGAATTTCAATAAAACATAAGGCAAATGTAACTACGTAATATTTCCTTAAGCCAGGCTTTTCACGGGGTTAGATTGTGATAATGAGTTAATTTAACAGGCATAATTAGTCCATCACATTCTTGTATGACAAGTAACTGGTAGACTTGATGAAACATATAATTTATATAATGTATGACACTGAAACTGCAATACCCAATTACCCAATGGCCAATAATACATAAAGAATTTGATAAAATTACAGAATAGAATTTGAGTATATACATGAACAAAGAATAGACGATTACAAAATGAAGTTTCTTTATTTAATAACAAGTAGGAGGTCCCCTAGCTCTGATTACAATCTCAATCCTACGTTGCGTGCCCTCAATTACATGTTGGATTGCCCCTTGAGAAATGTTATTTCACTCTTCCAAAAGTACATCAACAGCCCTCGATGTTGCCTGATCTTCCCAGAATCTCCCATACGTGTTCTATGGAATTTAGGTCAGGACTACCTGCTGGCCAGTCTAGGAATTCATTATCAACGTCATGGAAGTAGTTCTAACAATTCTGGCTACGTGTGAACGAGCATTATCGCGCAATAAAAGAAACCTACCAAGCAAACCCCACAAAATCCTCCACATGTTCGTCCAATGTACCTTTTAGCCGTTAAAGTACCTCCATCTACGAACAGAAGCTCTGTGCAAGCCGCGTAAGCTATGCCAGCCCAAACCATTACAGTCCCGCCACCGAAGCTCACGCTCTCACTAAATTTGCTTTGCGAGCATTTTTTCTCGTCGCCTTTTCCATACTCTCTCTCGTCCATCTTAGGGCCTCAGGGAAAATGGAGACTCCTTAGAGAAAAGGACATTGCTCCACTGTCTGACATTCCAATTGAGATGTTCACGTCCGAAATTGAGCCTGGCCACAAAATGATCGAGGCTCGAGACCTGTTGCTGGTCTTCTAGCAGAGAAATTGCTGACATTAACCTGTCGTAATTCTTGTAGTTTATTACATACTTGAACGGCAGTCATAATATGTCGATCTCGTAAGATAGAAATCACGAGGAATCGATCATTGCGGAGAGTTGTGCTTCGATTTTGCAAATATATGGGGATTTAAAAACAATAGCCATTTGAGTAGGGGTTCAAGGAGGCTTTACAAAATATTCCTGTTTTCTTTATTTGTGGGACAGTCATGCAGTAAAAGAACATTATGTGCAAAGAATTTGGCCGGAACGGAAGGAATATGAACCAGAAATTAATAATGTTAAATATGTTCCCCTTGTAGACCCTGAAAATGTTCTTCTGCCACCTCTGCATATTAAACTTGGGCTAATGAAACATTTTGTGTAGGCTATAAATAAAGAGGGTGAATGACTTAAATACTTAAGAGAACCTTTTCCCCAATTAAGTGACGAAAAACTTAAAGAAGGCATTTTTATTGATCCTCAAATTAGAAAATTGCTTGACGAAGCAGATTTTAAAGGAACATTCAACAGACAGAAACTCAAAGCTTGGAACAAGAAGGATGAGAACTGCAAGCAACTAGTAAGCGAACTTTTAAATTCGTACCAAACGCTTGGTTGCCGTATGTTCTCAAAAATTTACTTTCTGCATTCTCATTTAATTTTTTTCCCGAAAATTTGGGTGCGGTAAGCGACGAGCGAGGAGAAAGATTTCATCAAAATATCAGAATAATAGAAATTCGTTATTAAGGACGATGGGATCCAGCCATGATGGGTGATTACTGTTGGTTCTTATAACGAGACGATTTGATCCCCCCTAAATGAAAAAAATGAACTGAACAAGTTCTTCTAAAATTATTTTCTATCTTTGTAGATATATCTATGTAAGCCTAATACATGTCGTATACATTATTGATATATAGCAATAAATAGATTAGTAAAATTAACTATAATTTTATTCCTGCCCATAACGTTTTATTAATGTAACAAGAAAACTTTACGTGTTACGACTTCTTGCTTACCATTTCTGTAATCAGAAGGCTTTATTTCAGTGGAATATACTATTCAGGTATTAATGTAAAAATCTTGATTAGACTGTGCCTTTTGTTAAACAAGCCTATTAAATGAGTCGTCAATGAGGAGTTTTCTCCAAACTAATAAAAAATTCGCCATTGAATATCTTAAAAAAATGTTTTCTCTGAAGATAAAAAACATAAATTGTATCACATTTTAAATTATTCTTGCGTCCCAATTCTTGTCAGAACTCCAAAGCCAACTATTTGTCAGTTTAACAGCTTTTTTCTTCCTGCCTTTGTGTAGTTGCTTTAATGTTTAATTTGATAGCATTTAATGAAGTTGCATGAACAACGATTCATATCTAATATGTACATACGTTAGCTTAAGCGTCTAAATATTTTATTAAGGCACGATTCCGCAGGTGAGACCTTAAATTGGAGCAACTAAGCATCATAACACGTGTCAACAATCTTTAGTTAAAAGCTTTTAAGGCTAAATATTAACAATTTGACTCGGTAGCATCCCGGAACCTAATTGGCTTTAAATTTTAGTAGCGTGTTTTATACTAACAACTGTAATTTAATTAATATAACAAATTGTTTTATGGAAGGCATTTACCGCCAATAGTTTATCCATATTGCTCATACACTTGCAAAGTTTTCTTATTCTTTTAATACATTAAAATGTAATGCTACTAACAACAACATGAACAAAAATATTTCTAAACTGACAACAAATTTTCCATTAAGAATTGCCGGTAATACAGTCCTCAAAATTTTAATTGAATAGAACTACATATTTAATGAGGACGGATTATGGTAATTAATTTTAGAGAGAAACTATAATTTCTTCACTAAGAACTGAACCCAGACCCTTCCTCGAAAATCGAGCATTCATAACGTTTGAATGAGTAAAAGAATATTAAAATATATGAACGCTTTATCATTTTGAAGAATGGATTCAGATGTTTTCGTCATTCGGTACATTCATAATAATTTATTTAGAATTCTAGAGGTGTACTTCTTTATTAGAAATGTATGAATATTTATTTAATTCAAAATGAAAGTTGTTCATTATTTAAAATAATCACTTTTCGTTAATTAAAATACTTTTTACAACTAACGAGGTTTATTTTAAATAATTTTTGAAATACATTTTTTTATTACGTTTTTTATTTCAACTAAATTCTAAAAGCATTTATTTAAATAACGAAAATCATTTATTTTAATAATTTCGTTTTATTTAACTATTTTTCCAGTATTTAAACACTATTTCATTATTTAAATATTTTTTTCTTTATTTACATATTTTTTCATTATTTTAATATTTTCTTGAGTTGATGGTCTAGGAGGACTATGTCAGGCTTGTTAGCTTGGATTAGCCTGACCATCGGGAACGAGTAGTTCCAGTAAATCAGTCATTTTTCGTTCTCTACAGTGGACTCAATATATCCCGAGACGTAAGGCAGCACTGGTGTCTGGTTTACTCTGTTGTTATTATTATTTTTTTTTTTTCGGAATATCCGCGCCGGCACATTATTATTATTATCAGTTTCCCGATGCCGGTCAGTCCTCCCGTGGCCTCCGACGCCTCACGGGAGTCGCGCCGGCGCAGCAACTACAGCCACTCCCCACATCCCGCAGGGTTAGTGATTATAGATACCAGAATCGTGTGCCCTAAGCAGACGAAGAGAACCCAGAATGACCGCCTTCTGCATTTGACCTGCCAGCCACTCGGCTGATTTTTGGCAGGCCGATATGGTCTTCAGTTACGAGAGCAGCGTAGGCTTTATCCCTCCGAGTACACCGATTATTAGGACGACCATTTTTACCGAGTAGCCTGGGTACAGCACTTGGAGCTCGTACCGGTGATCATGATATTTGGTCCGTTTCTCCTCCACT